ATAATAAGCAAATAAATATATAATATTTTGTTAATATTTTTAGGGAATTGTTATTCGCACCCCTCCCGTGACTAAGTGTAGTAATGTGACCAATGAATGGCTTTAAAATGTGGTTGTCTTAATCACGGGAGGGGTGTGAATAACAAAAATGGGTACGAATAACAATGCCCTATTTTTATTTATTTATTTTAGGATTCCACACTGGATACAATACATGCAAACTAATAGTTCTTCTTTAGAAAAATTTATCACTAGTTAGTGAGTTATTTTTTACATATGCAACCCCGTTAAACCAAAGGCAATTGTGCAGGGACTTTTCTTCGGATTAACGGGGTTTTTTATAATCGGATAAATGGGGTAGTAAATTTAAAATTTTAGAATCTCCTATCATAATTTACAAAATCATTTAACTAAAATAGGTATCAATTTCTGTTTGAGCCATTGACATAAAAATTTCTTTCTTTAATTCTCTTTTAAATTTGTTTAATTCACGAAGGAAACTCTCACTAATACCCATTCCTCTTTCTTCTTGCATTAGAAAAAATTGGAGCCTTTCAATCAATTCCATAGCTTTGATCCATAGTTATTTTGCCTTCAGAAACTTGAAATTGGTTATCTTCTTCTTCTTCAATTGCTTCCTTCCTTTAATCACGTTATGAAAAAGCCACACATATGTCAATCATATACAAATCATGATATGGTGTTTATATGCTGTTTACATGTAGGATCTATGTATAATTTCAAAAGTATTTTCCTGATGAAAAGTTGTGCTTTCAAAAATAAATTTAATTCTTTGTTAGTTAAATTAACAATTTGAAAATGTCTTTGAAAAAATTTTTTAAATCCAATTTTTTCAAAGCAAGTTCTTCAAGAACATGGCAAGTACAACTTGTTGGATGTTCAAAAAAATTTTTTAAAATTATGAATAATTTCTTGAATATTTTCATAATCACCATATTCTTCTAAACCAAGTTTAATAAACCATAAAATATTGAGAAGTTTCTTAACTAGTTGCCATGTTTAATTATTTTAATTATTGTACAGTGCAAGTCACTTAGTCCCACAACTTTTTATTGATCATGTAGATTTTCAAATTCTCCAAAAATAGAAATGCAACACCCCAAAAATAAATCGTGTATTTGAAGCCAAGACCTTCCTCTACAAAATCACGATTTCATTTCATTGATATGTCATGTTGTTGTGGAGGATTTGAGCTTTAAAGTTGCACAAAGTTTACCGAATTTAGACGAATTGAAACAAAATAAAAATTTATCTTATATTGCAGCTCCTTTATCACGTGAATTTTCAGATGAACGGGAAGATAATTAATTATCTTTATTATTAAAAAAATACAAAGAACAGCTAAGTTCATTTATTTTAATTTAATAAATAGATTATTGCATTGATCAAAGAATGTGCAAAATATACTGCTATCTCCAACCTAGCACCAAAAGTATATTTTATGGAGGTATATATATACATTTTATTTCTATTGCTAATGTCAAAATTTCATTTTAAATTTAACTATATATTATCTAATTAATAAATCATATAAATGTGTGTGATGATCTTTGAAATTCATATGACCATAAAATTTTTATTGCATTTATGATTGGAAAAATTTTCTCAAAATTGGCCACTGTGGTGCAGAAAGTTGTGGGACTAAGTGACTTGCACTATACAGTGAATCTCAATTAAGTGGATATAATTAAAAATCTCGGTTTTATGGATAAAATTCAAAGAATGGTTCCATAATAAACCTTAATATTAATAAAACCTTCTTGACATAGCAGATATCTCAGTTTAATGGATTTTTGAAAAATTTTCCCTAATTGCCTAAACTATCCGACAAATCGAGATTCACTGTGTACTATGCAAGTAATTAAAAGAAATGAGCAAGGAAACGAAGATAAAACATATTATAAAGCATTATACATATGATGATGTTACAGTTGTGATGTTAATTTAACAGATACCAAAAATTTATTTAAGAACAAGAATTGTCCCAAAACCAGAACATTTATTAAGAAATTGACAAATAAAAAAATTACATTCCAAATAGTGTTTGTTGTTGCGAACAATTATTTGTTTGAGTGAAGGAATAAGTCCAAGCTTGTTAGAAATATTTATACGTTGAATCTCATATATATTCCTTTTCCAATTAGAATTGCATATTTCCAAATGTTCAGAATTATGGATAACATTAAAACAATAATAATAGTAATAATAATAATAGTGGAGCCAGTGTAACATTCCGTAAAGTGAGGCATTACACCTAAGGGAGCCGGATACAGGGGACCTTATCTGGTACTTCATCATTGCATGATTTTTCCCTGGTCGATACTATTACACCAATTCTATGACTTAGATATTAACTTTTTTTCAAGTTGTGCAAAATATGGGATACCAACCATTTCATTGGATTAAATATATTCCATAATTTTTATTGTGTAATCTAAAAAAAATAAAATTCAACAGAAAAAGTAGACTGTTAAATACAAGATGTATGATGACATACGAAGCTTCCAAAGCAAGTTTGTAAAATATACTGATGAACGTTTATCAATTCTTGTATCGAAATAAGTGTTAAAGTCAAGTTCTATGAATCTGTTTGTAAAATATACTTAATGACCGCTTTATCAATTATTCAAATAATTATATAGGCGGGCTTGGTAGAAGTAAGTGTTAAAGTCAAGATTTATTTGCAAATCAAGTTTCTAAAATGAACGTTTATTATTATAGGCGGGTTTGATCAAAGTAAGTCTTAAAGTCGAGATCTACGAAGCTATTTGCAAAATATATTTAATTAACGTTTTATTTATATTATCAATTATTCGATAACTATATAGGCGGGTTTGATTGGTCAAGCTCTATATAATTAGATTGTTAATAGTTAATAATGGAATTTTATTACATGCGAAAAAAAAATTTTTGGGTTGTAAATTTTCCTTTTGATCGTATATCTTTAAATTGGTTGCGTTTACAATCATTTTGACATTCGTTATTTTAAGGTTATTTTGATTATATCGAGAGATATGGTCAAGAGAAGAGTTAAGAAGAGAGTTATTCTTCAACCAAGTCGAAAACCAACCCTTTAAATACATTTTCGAGTAGTACGACTTAATTTATTAGACTATTTCAAATGGTTGCTTCCAACTTCTTAAATTCGAACCATTTGTTAACGAAACAACTGTTGGTGAAGTGATTGTTGACAAAATGAATCAATATTTACGTTATCAAATTCACGATTTTGATTGGTCGATCAACAATTGCGTAAGATTAAAATTTTGTGTTACCAGAACGGTCTCTGTTATATGTAAATGATTGAATCAATTGAATCATGTGTTTGTTTATTATTATAATGCTATGAAACACTCGGCGCAGTGGTGTTTTTATCTTTTGACATCTTATATAACGTTGTATAATGATAAATGATTTCATGGTTTGAATGTGCTCACCATCTGTAAACTCGATTGCTTGAATATGGACAGGGACGTCGTAGAAAGTTGAGTTCCGTGCACTGAAATGGCCTGAGAGGAATTCCTCTACGAAAAAAACTGAATTAATAAAATAGACTATTGTCTTGACCTGAGTGATGTCGTTGTGTGAGTAAAAGACACGAAGCTCACTGTCACATTTTCGTTTAAAAACTTGTTTCACATGAAATTACACTCTCTACAACATGTCCCACGACTGATACTAAAATACATTTTATGAAAAATTTTCTATAGGGCAGTAGGATCTAATTGCCTCCCATTCCTAGTTGATTTTATATTGATGTGATAATTTTTTTAATGGTTTATTTTTCTAAAAAAATTATAATTACTGGCTAAAACATTAAACATCCCAGGTACTAAAGAACAAAATAAATCTCTAAAATTTAAATTAATAAAATCTATGTTTTTAATCAAATAAATTTATTCTTACTTACCAACAAGCACTACCTGTGTCAAAGGATTCGAGCATCTAAAACTTGAAAACAAACAAATTTTTTATTCCAATTATCATCATCATCATCATCATCATCACCATCACCATCACCATCACCATGATGTTTACTTTAATTTTTTATTTTTCCTAAAAAATCGAAATTTAATATTTCGACACGTTCCATACAGGGCTGGAATAGAACCGGATTTTTTCTTTAAAAATTTTTAATTAACTTCCGAAAAAAAGAGTTGCTGGATATTTTTCCTTTTTTTCATGATAGTGATAAACAAAATAAAAACAAATTCTTTTCTTTCGGAAAATTTTTGGCTAGGAAAAATTTACTATTACGTTTTCTTAGACCTATTTTCAGCCCTGATTCCATGTAATCAGTGGAGGAAAATTGACCAATAAAGAAGTACCTTTGCGTACTATACTTTTGTCTTCTATACTGGATAATTTTTTTGTGTCTGCAGATAAAAAGAAAGTTTTAATTCATTATATTTTGATATAAATGAAAAATTACAAAGAATGAACGAATCATATGATTATTAATTAAGGAAATTTAGCTGCGGGTAACGAAGGTTTGTAAAAAATACCGTATATACTGTCCAGAGCCGATTTCTTCAATAAGTAACCGAGGAGAATATTTTTCTAGTGTTTGGCTAAGGTACGGAAATTATCAAATTGTTTTGTAACATCAACCTTCATTAAAACCTTTTGACCACCTAATTGTAAAATATTTAGTCTTTTTTTTATATTTTATTTTATTTTTTTTTTTTTTACCAAAAAAAAACTTTATATAATATATATATATATAATTTTTGTATTTATGATGATAAATCTTGCATAATGTGTTTGTGATAATTACATCAACTTTCCGGAAAATTTTACATTATCAAGAATTATTCCTTACTGTGACAAACAAACAACATTATTATAATTACAAAATGTATGGAATTTTTGTGCTTATATATATGGCAGTTATTATTATTATTATCATTTACAAAAAATATTTCATCAAAAAAAGAAAACTTTAATTTCAATTACTGATTTTTCGTAATTAAAAAGCAATGGATATAATTGGACTTTGTTTCCCATTGATCAAAATAATTATAAAACTTTCAAAAGAAGCTTATAAATCAGCTGAAGATGCACGTTATACCAAGAAAACATGTTTATTATTATCCGATAGATTAGAAGCGGGATCACACGCTTTGTCTGATTTATATAGACACAGAGAAGAAAAAGATAAAAAAGGAAAATTTAAAAGTAGTAATTTTTATGACAATCTTCAAAGTTATGTAAATGCGGCAACTGAAATCAAAAAATTTATTGATGAGATTTCCAAATCGAATGAAACAGTGAAAGCTCATTCTCATAAAGTGAAAGTTAAACAACTTGTAAAAAGGTACGATGATGCCTTTGCTGATTTAAAATTGGGAATAAGTATTGATAAATTTAAAAAAATTGGTGACTTGGAAATTATAATGGAAACTGAATTTAAGGAAATGTCTTTGGTATAATATAGATAAATAAATAAATAAATATTTTTATTTAGTTTATGATATGAATTTAATTCTAATCATTATCAATTATCATTATCTCCATTATCATTATCACTATTTCAATATTCATAGAGTTTAGAAACAATAAAGGCCAGCTTGAATAATCAATCAAGTGTTATGAAATTAACGATAGACACACTTGCATCAATGAATAGTAATAATAATAAGCAGCAACATGACATTAAAGCAATTCCTCCTGGAGATTTAAAAGATCCAGAACCAAAAGAAGTAGTAAAACGTGTAAAAATTATTAAAAAATTATTGAATGGGATTGAACCAGTAGCGTGTAAGCTACTTACAGATGAAGACTATAACGGAGAAAAATTTAATACTATTTTAGCAATTTTAAGCAAGCTAGTTTTATCAAACAATATAATAAGGTTTTATGGTATATTATCAAGTGACTGTGGAGCCAGTAAAGTGATGGTATTTGAATGGGCTGAATATGGCAATTTAAAATCTCTTTATGAAACGTGTAAGATTACTTGGAAACAAAAATTAAAAATTGTCCATGATGTTTGCGCTGGACTTTCTTTCCTACATGAATGCACAATTTATCACCGTGATGTTAGATGTGAAAACATTCTGGTGAGTAATTATTTTTATTTTTATTTTTGGTTTTTAATTCAAAAATAATAAATTGTTTGTTAATTAATCTTGAAAAAAAAAATTTTTTTTTAGATTATGGACAATATCGGAGAAGCAAAAATTGCGAATTTTTTTCTAAGTAAAGAAAATCATAAATATCATAGGCAACGTATTAAAAATATATATGATGAGGTTATACCTTGGATTTCACCCGAGAAACTTGAAAATATTGGTGGAGTCAATGACTTAAAATGTGAAATATTCAGGTAAATGATTACATATATTATTAATTTTAATTTGATTATTTACTAATTTGATTTCTTTTTTAATTTTTTTAGTTTTGGCATGTTTGTCTGGGAACTGTCACATCAACAAGTCCCATATATGTAAAAATTTGATAATGATTGTGTAAGAATTTCTCAACATATCAAAAATGGTAAAAGGGAAGATACATCAAATTTTAATCCCTTGGACGATATTCAAAAATGTTTCAAAAACATAATAGTAAAAGGTAAAAAATTTTTTTTGTTTGTGTGTTATCAATTCGAAATTGTCATATCTCTGATCCCTGTCAAGGGGGTATCTCTCTTATGCACCCCCAGGGCCCTGAACAATCTTTGGAGATGGTAATCGAATATCATTTCTTAATTAGAAGAAATTTTGTGATTATCCTGTAAATTATGGGAATAAAACCGTCTCCTAAGACTGTTCGGGGTCCTGCTGAGGCTTTATCCCTACGAACGAAGGTATAACCTTATGGAAATTGTTAAATAACATATCCCAAAATTTAATTTTTTACAACAATTTCAAATTGACTCTGATTTCAAATTCATCCACAATACATATATAAATTATTATTAAAAATCTTTCATTTATATATATATATATTGAATAGCTTGGAATCAAGAACCTTCATTACGTCGAAGCATGCCTTTTTTCCTTAATCAGTTAACTTGTTTATACAGAAACCATTATTCACCAAAGTTTCTACCTAGAATTTCTAATGGTGGTGGTGGTGGTGGTGGTAGTCTTGATGATTCATTACATACATTAAATTTAGATGATATTCAACAAGTAACAATGACATTAGAAGATGGTATAAAATTACACAAAGATAAAAGTCCAACATCAAGACAAATGGCATGGGAATGTTTCAAATATCATGCCGAGACATTGAAGGATCCTAGAGCAATATATTGCAAGGGTTATTATTTGTTGGAAGGGCACGGTGGAGTTAAAGATCTACAAGAGGCATATAAATGTTTCAAAGAAGCTGCAGACCAAGACATACCTGAAGCTCAGGTTCGCTATGCATTCTCTATAATAAGTAAGGTTGGCAATCCTTTGAAGGCTGCTGAATTTTTGAAATATTTGGAAAAAGCTGCTTTCCATGAAAATCAAGTTGCTTTATATAATTTGGGAGATATCTATTATGAAGGTAAATTAGGTTTTCCAAAAAATCAAAAACAGGCAATAATAAATTATAAAAAAGCTGCTTTGAAAGGTCATGACAAATCAATCAATAAACTTAAAAGTTTGAAAATAAATGTTTATGATGATTAAACAAACCAATGGTAATATTACAATTGATATGTTTCATTTGTATTTTTTATTTTTTGTTTTTTATTTTTTGTTTTTTATTTTTTATTTTTTTTACATGTTTAACCTATGATTTCATCATTTGACAAAATAAAATATTTGTATGGTTTTAATCCTAAATTATTGCATGTGAAGCTACTCAAGAATTATTAAATTTATGGGTAAAATTTGACGAGCTCTCTTTTACCTGTTCCATTGATGGTCTTTGTTAGAAGTTACTTGTGTGTGATAATCATACCATAGATAATGATGTTAATTCAACACTAATGACATGAAGATAAAACTTCAAGGCTACTATGTTCAATAAATTAGAAAACGACACACACACACAACATAATGTCACTGATTTAACTGTTTTATGTCAATGGATATATATTATTCATAAAAGAAAAACCTTCAAATATTAGGATTAGATAGAAGAAAATGATACTATTAAATATTGAATCAAACAATTGTTTTGTATATTTCTCCAATCTGCATCAATTTTGCTTCAGCAGAAAGATCATTCAGCTTGATGGGTTTTCTAGACGAAATAGATTGATTAAATGTGGTTAAGTTTAAAATGTTTTTATTTATTCTAACAAATCATACTGAGAATACATTACCATTAAACATAGAAAGTGAAATGACAATGCCTATATCAGATGATGACAATATGATACTGAAAACCATTCAGCATGGATTGCATTCTGAATTTGAGCTCAGATAATTTTAAATATATAGAAATACTGTATGTAGAAATAAAAAAATTGGTTTTTGAATCAATAAACAATCGACATTTCTAACATGGAGATCAATTGCTTCACAGACTATAATTTTTAACTCATTCTTCTGTATTCTTGGCTCTTCTAACAACACTTGATAAAGAACAAACACACTGCAGAATGTTTTCAAAGGCAAGCTTCAGCTGACATGTCAACATAAAACATCTATGTTATCCAAACAGGAGTTTTTTCTTATAACAATCAATCAAACACTCATATAGTACAATCAATAATTGCAAACCAAATGGATATAGATTGAGGAAGTTGGCATGAGATTGGATAATCAGAGATTACCGTCAACAGCCATCATGTTTACATACAACAGGTAAAGAAAAACAATATTAGAATAACAAAAATCGGAATGTGAACTCATCATTCAAATATCCAAAGTAAATAGAAATTCATACACCGACTTCTGCCCAGGAAACTGTTATAGTTGGCAAAAGAATGAACATTCCTCATAATTATCAATGCTATGCATTGATGGTAATGGTGACAAGTACACAGACCGTAGCGGCAAATGAATTAATTACAAGTTCCTACTGGGAAAAAAAAAGGTGAAAGAACTAACAGGTTTAGTAAAAATGATCAATTGCGAATATCCATCTTCTAAGCAAACATACCCTATATTTATGTTCTGTATAGATCCTTTCCAAAAATCACGATTTTGCGTTGTCGCTCAAACCGTTATGCCTCTTCCGCTGTCTTGAATTTAATTTCTTATGTATCTTTTACAACTCCGAGTTAGACTTTTGATGACCTTGTCTTCTTGCTCAGCTGTAGCCATAGGTATTTCAATATTAAATATTAATAACTTGACTCCCTTTACTTTTCTTTCATTCAAAATATAAGCAGTGGAATTTTTTTCCCTCATCATTTTTCTTCTTTGATTATATTGATTGGATGAAAGTGAATTAATGGGTAACGTTAATTAAATTAGAGTTCAGCAAGTATTGACCATATATTAATTATTCACTGAAGACTCAACAAATATTATTCATTGAGTACAATCACCACTAATATTATGAGTATGAGCATATTTTTCTTCACTCAAATTAATGAGTTGATATGTATCTCACTTTACTCAAATTACACAGCCAATTTTCTATAGGGCATAACCACCATATTTTACAACAGTATTAACACTGTTGGCATATTATTATAAACAAAATATTGAGATTTACTGTGAGACACAGATTTTTATCCCAATTTTAATTATTATTATTTGTAGTGTTCATAGATGATAAAAACAGTATATATAAATGTTGAATATAAAAATACTAATAAAATAATAAATAAATAATACTAAATGATGATAAGAAGCATGATGGTAGGTCACTTCAATCTGGTCAAATTATAAGGAGGTTTGCTTTAATTTAAAATAGATAGCATATAATCACTAAAAACATTTTTTTTGATAATAATAAGAGGTGTTTGTTCACCATATAACATTTCCTTATAATAATAAAAAACTAATGTGAAAATTTCAATAATCTGATGAATGAAATTTATTCATAAAATCATCCGGTATAGTTAATTCAATTTGTTTGGAATCTAGCATAGTTAATTCAATTTGTTTAGATTCTATAGTATTAATAATTTAATTTAAAATATCATTAATAATAAATAATTAAGATTGAATATATAACAATAAATGAGATAATTACCATTATTATTACTAATAATTGTAACTTTATTGGAGTTTACAGGTTGAGGAAGATTTGTAAAATTCAATAATCTA